AAAACAGAGTGAACTTTTACGATATCCATACCGATTACTACTTTTACTATCACTCCAGGTTACTACAGTGCAAAGCGTTCGCTAAAATACAGTATACTTAGACTATATATAATACATCTTTGCCACAGCTGATATCGGTCTAACAGAGCAGCACCTAGCTCTTAATATTGATGGCATTCAAAGAAGAATAATCATCAATTACCAACTATCGCTTCACCAATTACACCAAACTTGCACAGTTTCGTTGAAACAAGAAGTCATTCATGATAAAGGAAGGGCGTCGGTTGATAATTTAACACAGTGCTGATTTTTTGACTTCCGAAAAAGTTTGCACACATCGGATCGCATCATTCCAGAGCAAACTTACGGATAATATCGATCAGATCGACGTGACTAGGAGAGCGAGATGCATGTGTCGAGCCGTCAGCCGGCTGCCCGCTTCGAATTTCACACATCGAGTTTACTTTCGACGAATTATAGCCCCGGGATACAGAGTCGAAATCTATGGCAAGTGAAAGATCAACAGAACAGGAACGCTAAAAAGGAATGCGATTATTGTACTTCGGCTAAATAAACGGCTGTAGCGAATGAACGCCGTAAGAAGCCCACTTCTGCCGTGTATGTCACAACACGTATCCACTAGAAGGGTTATGATCTTGACCAGCTGAGCTAACATTTCGAAACAGACTTGTCCGGCAGATACTAAAAATAAAATAAAATCACTACGTCGCAGTGCACTAATTACTGTACTCCTTACCGATCTGACAGTTTCGAGGAGGTTTCAAAATCATTAACGTAATCAGCTTATCCAGAATTACGTATAAAAACTTCACCAATGGTTCAGGTTTCGCCTTAGTGAGGTTCCGAATAATGTTCTGCATTTCCGCGTCGTTGATTGGACGATTGCCATTCGTAATATTGTGGAAGAGATCAAAAAATTTATCTAAATACGCGTCCTAAAAGAATTCACCACGCTAATAGTCGTTCGATCAACGAACAGTCAAATCAGTTATGTGCGCACAATTAGTTCTAGACGATTGAATGATTAATTTACTGCTTGAATGGGACCGCCAGAGAATTTTATTTGTCAGCAAAGAAAGAAGAAAATACTGTACATATCGCAAGACACAAAACAGCGAACAGAGTCGCGCTTGAAAACTTAAAGCTTGCAAAAAAGAATCTGGAACTACGACATATATAAACAGAAATAAGACTGTCATGCTGAACAAATTCAAGTATTGTTGTTTAACGTCTGTGGAACTTCAGAGAATGCAAAAACTATATGGCTTTATGAATATTGCATATGCTAGAGTATTTAATGCACATTATGACATTACAAAAAAAATTATTTAACGCACTATGAAAAATTTTAGTGCTAACATGTCAAAACTGCTCGTCGTATATTTCACTCTGGAAAATCTTTAAACACTATGTGATACCTAAGCACATCGTTTTTATTTTAGAAGAGATGTATGTCAAAACCACCTGCAGCGTCAAAGTTGAAGGAGAGCTATCTGAGTGATTCCCTACATTATGACTTTCTTATTTGAAACACCGCTGCCCATGGGAACGACGTCTCATTGTAGAGAGAAGAAGCGGTTCAAGATATCCGGCTAAAATCGTAGTTCTTATTGAGATATAGTACACAGATGATATTGCTCTGGCGAGTAGTATGGGAAGAGGGCTCCGTCATTTGACCGCTTCAGCATGCAACACAGCTGAGAAATTAGGCCTCTTCCTTAACGCCCGAAAGCCAGGAGTAATGAGGAACTATCCAACACAGCAGATCTACAGGTAGAACAGGAAGGAAAGGCCCGTCAAGAGATACATCAGTTTAAATACCTCGGCTCAATCATCATTAGCGACGGCACAAACTAGTCAAATAAATAAAAGGATCTCCCAAGTTATAAATTTTTTCGGAAGCCTGTCCAATAACCGGGCTGAGAAAGGAGTTACTCTTACTACAAAAAATTCGCCTGTAACTTATCTGTCAGGGAAGTGCTGTTGTAAGAGATTGAGACAGCAATTTTAAGGAGCAGTAACGATTTTTGAACTGTGTGTAATAGCATTGGGCTCGATGCATTAAGACGGTCAAATTGCAGGGCAACATAAGAAATCACTCTTCTTTTCCAGGCAAGAGGACTTCGGTAGATGTGGAGATTAAGAAAAGAAGATTGGCGCTGTTAGGCAAATTGGATGAACATTTCACCATTTACAACACTTGAGCTTCTCGTGTGGGAGCCGAAACACGTCACAAACGACAAGGAGGCCACCCGACAACAGGGAGGAACAAGGTACAGGCAAATCTGTTTTCAGAGAGGAACATTTCCTTATTCACAGGCACAAGAAACTACCTCACTGATAGTGACGTTGAT